GCATTTGAAGCAGAATGTTTAAAAGTTGTTTTATTTTTGTCTATGTATTTTCCACTCAAGGGTGGGTGGTTGCTCAACGCCAACTGGGTCACAGATGCAGGGATAGTAACAGAAACCAAACATGTCCTTTACAAGGTGTGTATCCTTTCCTCTGTTATCCTTAAGTTAATTTGTTAAGGATAACAGCTAAGTTGTGCATTGCCTGCACAATTGTGGTGCTGTTAGAAAGAAAATGAAGATTGCCTCCTGGTTTTTTTACTTGTAGTGAGCCCTTAGGTACCTTTCTGTTCTAACACCAGCAATTTCCAATAATTCATACAGGAAAGTTGAACAACTTTACTTGGTCATCAACTTAGCCTTTCAATGCTAGAATGGAATGATTTACCAAGTAGCAGCTTCATTTCTGCATGTCTCTGCATTTTAAAGACGCATAAAAGTAATGCTTTTTAAAATTTTTGTTAACAGCACCAAAATAATTCTTTCAGCATAGCAAATGAAGGCAGATAGTAGTAAGTGGAACCTTTGTTGTAGTCAGCATTTTTAAGGATCCTATAACGATCTACTTAAAGAGGTAACTATCTGTTACAGATAAAAGAATATTGCATGATAAAAATGTGAAAATACAGCTGTTTTTAAAACCTTCAAACTCTTGATCTTGTAACTTTTTAGATAGATTTGGGCAAAAGTGCATTTAGATTTTTTTATCAAGTGCATTTTGTACTGTAGGTCTGATTTAACGCACAAAAATTCAGTAGAAAACACTTTTTCCCCAGTTTCAAAGGGGAAATAAAAGAAATACTAATCCCTTAGCATGACTGTTTTAAAGGTACTTGAATTGGAAGTAAAAACTACTGAATCGGTTGTTTAGAACTCCTAAGTTCATCTTTTTCACTAGTGTTAAATAATTGTATCTGCTTGGTTGAATGCATTTGATAATCTGTTTATAGACAATACTAAATTTTGACAAGGTGTTTAAAGAATTGTGTTCTTTAAAAATGTGATTTTATTCGGACCAAACTAGTTTTTCTGCCAGCAGTTTATATTGCAACTAGTGGAAACAAGGGAAGAAAGAAGGTCAGAATATTAAGGCATTTTGGGTTTTAATTTTGGTTGCTAGTTAATACTCAGAAAGTAGATTTCCATTCCTTGGAAAACTGAAAGATAGTGAAGTTTTCTTGTTTCTCATTATGTTGGAACAGTTTTGACCTGATGCAGTTAGACTGCAGAATTAATAGGTGTCTAGTACAGTAAACACTGTAGTCATAGAATCATAGAATTTAGGGGTTGGAGTGGACATTACAAATCATCTAGGCGTTCCCCTCCCCCCCCCCCCCCATGGGCAGGGATAGAGAAGTAAAGGAACTTACAGAAGGAACTGGAGTATTTAATCTGGAATAACTAGCACATGTGATGTGAGCAGTAGTTATGGGAGGATAAGTTTATGTACTTGCTCTGGTTTGACTGGCCACACTTCAGACTCTGACATTCCAGGTGAGTGCTGTAATCATCCTAACTCTTCAGCGTATCAAATACACTTGGGCTGAAATTCAAAGTTTTAGCAAAGTGGATATGTTTCTCCAGTAGGATTTTGTTCTGAAACTGCTTTTGCCTTCATATCTCAGTTGAAGTGATGTCACGTGGGACTTTGTTCCGTGTACATGAGAAGAACATTTGCATCTACTCCTTTACACACCTGACATCTAAATCTGAAGTGTAATCATGAATGTGTTATGTGTCATTCTTTAAAATCGGACAATATATTTAGTCATTGAATATTTTTTTGTTCTGAGTTATTTTTCTGGTTTTGAGTCATGAAAGTTTTACTGTTTAAAAATTGAGCTACTGGTAATTTTTTGTTTCCCTATATATTTTTGGCTTGCAAGGATCTTTTACTTCTGATTTTTTGAAGGAGTTTAATTATTTTCATATATATAGATACTGATTTTTTTGATGTCAGAACCAGGAGCAATATTCGTCATCTATTTATTGTTTGTAGCTTTACAGATGTTTCACAATTACAGCTGTTGACAACATTTGTATTATCTATATGGAAATTACACGATGAAATGTGATCTCTCCTTTGGTTTCTGTTATCACTTAACAATCCAAAAGCAGCAAATTACTCTTTTTAGCAAGCGTAAGAAAAATTCTGGGTTAAAATACTTGTGTGTCCTTAACAAGTGGTTTCTAATTAGTTTTGAGACTAAGCTCTTCATTTTGTTAAGTGTTGTTAGATTAAATTTAAACTTCAGCTGTTGGGTCCCAAGACTTGAATAGAAATTATTTATGGTGCATTATCTAATTATCTATTTAAAATACTGTTCATAAAGCTGGGGTTTGTTTCAGTATTTATATGTATTAGTTCTAGCTCCTCCTGGAAGATAAACTCCAGACATGTTATGTAGAGTTCAGGCTTACTCGAGAGCATACTGAAACTGGTCCATGCCACTACTCAGTCAAGAAAATTTACAAAGTACCTTCTCTGAAACCTTGCTCTGAAGGTTTTTTCCTTCATGGTTAGAGGTACCAGTCTCATGTATGTTGGTATTAAAATCTACCACTGAGTGCAGTGTTTTATGCAGCTGCATAGCCAACATGGTTTTGTATTGCAGTTTTGGTTCTATAGCTTTATTTGGCAGTGTATACCCTGTTCAGAAGCAGTCTTGGGGCTGGATTTCCTTTTCTTCAGCTTTGTTGTGGACCAGATTGTTTGAATCTATTTATCAGCAATGATTAATGGTAATCCAGTCTGTTTTCTCAAGCTAATGACCACACTTTTTGCTGGTTGTTACAGTATGGTGTTTAGCTCTTGCTAAACAGCAATTAGGGAAAAGAGTAGTGTCTCTTTGCCTGTCTGTTAGAGATCTTAAATTCTTTAAAGCTGTCACTAAGATTTCTATACAAATAGGCACAAAAAATTGGGTTAAAAATATGAAAATTTTTTAAAATCTACTTAAGAAAAGAACCTAGATTTGTCTTATTAAAGAAATTTTTAACATGTTTAATGTTAACATATGTGATAAGGATGGAAATAATTACAGCAAATTTGTATCATTTTCTAGGAAGAAGGATAAACAATAATCAGGTACAAATGACTGATAAGTATAATAAGGTGACTGTTTCAGAATGAAGGTGAGACAGTTTGTGGGAGTCACCATTCTGATTTCAGCAGACTGATGGCACTCAGGTTAGGAAAACAAATCTAATTACTGTCGGTGAAGAAGCATCAGTATTTGAAAGAAAGTGATTTTATTCTGCAGTGTACTACTGCTTCTGTAATGTCAGGGAATTTTTAGTAAGTACTTTTAGGAAAGTGTGTATGTGTTAATAAGTCTGAAGGAATTATAAAAAGCTTAATGATTCATCAACTCTTATGATATCAATGGGCTGTGTGTTTGTGTTAACATTAGTGTTACTGCTGAAATGGAGATTTACTGGCATGTATTCATCACTGTGTTATTAGAAATTTAAAAATTACTTTCTGGAATGCTGCTTAAAGCTGATATCACATTATAAAGAAAATGGAGTTACCTTATGTGTCAGCCATACGATCTTGTATATCCCTAATGAAATTTGTCTTTGAATGCACTTCTGTGCATTACTTGTCCATTCATTCTGGAATACTTTTATAATGAAAAGAAACATTCTGCCTTCTTATTTTAATTCTTATTGATGAGTCTCATTCTGTAATGCAAGACTGTATTTCTTAAACAGTTCCTACAGTGTCACTTATTTCCTGAATGTAGTTTCAGTCTATTATGCAGACCTTTTTGTGACAAGGAGTGTTAGAGCACTGTTGCTATTTTATTACAGCCAGCAGGTAATGAAGCAAAGTAACAAATCAGGTTGCTATTTAATTTCAGAATTCAATAATTTAACTGTTCTGCAAGCACAAATGTTGACTTGATCACTGTATTTGACAAATAGCTGAATTTAATCTTTTAGTAAAGTCTCTATTATGTTTTAACTGTTGACAAATAATTTTCCTCTTACTGAATAACAGCTAAACGTTAAAAATGCGGGATATGCAAAAATACAGTTTTGTGGTGATAAGCTTTAAGATTTTCCTTTTTGTCATTTGCAGTAGTAGTAGTACAACTCTTATTTTTGCACAAAATTTAAATAACAAGCTTCTAAATCACTTTAAAAATACTGCTTTCTTAAATTTATGGTAATTTCCATGCACAGGCACCTTAACAGTCATGAATAATACAGTGGATATACTGAAGAGAAATGGAGAAACTGAATGATTGAGTCTAGCTATAATTTAAAACCAGGTACAAATGAAAGTGATTAAGAAAAAATAAATGTATTTTATCAATTACCAGTGTGGTGTCTCAGAATTGTCAATCTGTGCTCCACAAATTGTACTTCGGTTTTGAAGTTGTAGAAGGGTTTTTAAGCTGCGTCCTACAACTCATAAAGTAGGTAAATAGTGGGTTTTACTTCATGTGTGTATTCTCTCTTAGTTGATTTGGATGCTGAATGCAAAGTGAAAAAGTGAAGTGCATATTTGTTGAGCGGATTCTACTGTCATAATGAACCTCTAGGAAAAAAACAAACCACTCTCTCAACCCTCACGTCAGTAATGTTCATTTTCAGGGAGAAGAGCTTGTTGCATTTAACTTGAAGAATATTTCTTTATTTGAAAAAATGTACTGAGTTTTTCCCAGTCTTTGTTGGTTGCTTTAAGTCTTCTTTTCTTCTTAATAGATAGTCTGGAAGAATAGCAAGTGTTGCTAGAAGAATGAAGTAAAGTAGTATTGTTTTTCAGTTGTAATCTAAGACAATCACATAAAATGGATCACTTCTTTGCATCAGCATCTCTCTAAAATGTAAATTTTGCACTAATGATAATATTTGCAGTGTTGTTTCAGTAGTTTTCTCAGTATCATTCCTCTGAACTTGTGTGTATGTTTCCTCCTGAAATCCTAACTGGTAACTGTCTACTTCTATAATTGTCTTTTCTTATGTTGGTCTTCCATTTATTCTGTGTGTAGGTTGCTATGGTGTTGATGGAGAGAGTGACTCTATCATGAGTTCAGCTTCAGAAAATTCAACAGAGCCTTGGTTTTGTGATGCATGCAAATGTGGTGTCACACCTAGTTGTGAATTGTGTCCCAACCAGGATGGGATCTTCAAGGAGACTGATGCAGGCAGGTAAGACTTGAGTAAGTGATGTTTTGAATTTGATGTCATCTTACATTAAAAAGATTGGGTTTGGCCCTAGTCTGTTTCTGTAGGAGACAGCTCCATAAATTAAACCTTGTACAGCCTCTGCTCAAGTCTATTGACTTCGAAGTATGATGTAAGTGGGAGGAGAACTGCATGCCTTTTTTTTGTACGAAATCGAAAGACTGGGTTGGTAATGCCAGATAATGGGAAAAAGTAACATAAAATTATATTGAAGTTGTGCTAAAGGTACTCAGACAGACCTAGTATATTATGATTATTTTGAATTATGAGAGTTATATTCTTGATTTTTGAGAATATGCTTTGCTTCTGTTAATTTCCAACCAGAGGCTGCTCTTTAGAATGGAATTCAGGTCTAATTTGAGAATAAGCAGATTAATTCTCATGTGATGACTTCCATCCCTGTTACATTTGGAAAATAAATTAAGATGTAGGTATTAATGATAACTAATTCTCTATAATAAAGGGGAGAGCAGGATTATCAATGATGTCTGATTTCTGGCTGATGTTACTGGGTTTTGCTGTGTGGTTTAGTTTGTTTTTTTTGTTTTAGTTTGTTTTTATAGATCATGACTATTAGGGTCTTTTCCCATACATTTTACTATTGTATAAATTGCACATGTGTGGTAATATACAAAACTTTCAGATATAAGGTTTGCCATAAGCTTTTAAAATGAAAAAGTTACATGAGTGAGTCAGGATTTGTTGTGAATGGTTTTTACCTCCTAGAGGCAGTACTGCTTCTTTTGAAATTCTTTTGGGGTTCAGAGCCTCAGTTTCTGGTCTGTCTTAGGTGCAAGAGTGTCTGTGCATCTCCCTTATAAACCTTTTATGCAATTAAACATTGTGCTTTTCAGTTCTATTTTCCATTTTAATAGTAGTGCTTCTATATATGCAAAAAATTGTTTTTAAAGACTAGAATTGTCTAACAGGAAATGTGAAAAACAGTATCACCTGGCAAATTTTATTTCAACCTTTTTTTTCTTGTGTTCTGTAAGTAGTTTAAACACTATATATGTAATGTCCCATATAATCCTAATAGAAACTATTTAGTCAGCATTTTAAAAATTGCTTAAATTTCTTACTGTAAAATGGTGGTTTGTTTTTGATTAACCTGGAAGTATTTTCTTTGTGACCCAGGTTGTCTGTGCAGAAGCACATGCCTGCCTTGGTGATCGTGGGCATTGCCACAATCATTTATTACTGTTATTCTATCTTTACCTGCTATATAATGTGATATCGCTATCATGGATAAGTTTATTCTCCCAGATGAATAGAGCTTATGTACTAGAAACAACAAATACTAATTGCTAATAGCTGATTTACATTACTGATATGTGAAAATTCCTGTGCTCTCTTTTTATCATTTATGTACACATTTGAGTACTCAGGGGTAGGGGAACACTATGGACTAAGGGTAAGGTCTTGGGGCAGGAAATGTCTATTATGTTTTCATTGTACTCGGTAAACTGCAACCCACTTCTGGGCTTTTCTTGAAATATTAGCAGGAAGAGACTACTAAATAACAGACTGCTTTTACTCACCATTGGTCTTCATCCCTTTACCACCTTTTTAAAATAAATTCTTCATATGCATAGGTGCTGGAAATTACACAAACCAAACTTACTCGGTTTCTCTTCATAATCAAGTTGGAATAGTTTCTCTCTTCCTACATGGAAGGTGAATCACTATAATAATGAGGTGCTTAATTTATCAGCAGAAGTCTTTTCACATTAACCTCTCAGTTTCACAAGTATAAATGTGAATTTATGAATTTTTTCTTCTCAAAATGCTATTATCCAAAAATATAAATTCTGTCCTTGTTTCAGTATGGAGTTTTTCTTCTTCCCTAATCAACATCTGTCATCATTGCTCCAAGCTAAATGGATGGTAAAGTAACAAGGAAGATTATTCTTCTTTGATTACCCAATTTGTCTTAATTACAAGCTTCTAAAACATGTGCAGCTAAATAAATGAGCAGGAAAATATTTAGAACTGGTATTAAAAGCAGCTGAAACTGCTTCAGCTGTGAACTTGACTGACTTGTGTGTTTTTTAATAAAGATTCAGGTCTGAGTTCGCATATAGGTGGTTAAAGAAATGAGGCACTTGTGTGCCAATCACACTGAAATGGCAGTTTAAATCTGTAATACTGTAATTCTTAGGTGACATGTACTAAAACATTTCGAGAAGGTCAGTATGAAGCAAGCAGCCAGCTGTTGGGTTTATCATAGATAAAACTCCTACAGAGTGCAGCAGCATTAAATACACCAGTGGAGCATGAAAAAACTGTGCAAATTAAATTGAGAAAGCAGCTGCTTGTAGAAGATGTGTATCTTTATATTGAACTTTTTCAAGGTACATTTAGGAGGCTGTATTAAAATTTACTATCAAAAATCTCCAAGCAGAACCTTGGATTTTTGTTAAGAATAGTAATTATGGAGGTATGTAACTTCTGTTTATGAAGATTTTTCTACATTGCACATCTTAATTTGATGGAAGAGTATAGAAAAGAAGACCTACAGAATTCAAATTTTTTTATTTATAAGCCAGCGGTCTCTTTAATGTCAAGGTTACAGGTCTCCTTCCGCATGTGGTATTCTGCTTTTTAAAAAAGTATTATTTTCTTTTGTAAACAAGTGGAATATACTAATTTAAATGAGTTATTTATTTAGTAAATGCATAATGTTGACCAAAATACGCATTTATGCACATGCGTATGTCTTTTTTAATAGAAGAACATCTCATAAAGGTATAATAGTGACTCAGAACGAGCCATTGCCACTTCTGGATACAGCATGGAAGGGCAGAGGTGGTACCTAGTACTCCATTGCTCCCCAGCAGGA